GGTAGACCTCGCTTAACAACTGCCTGTTTAGCAACCGTTCAAAGTTACGAAAGTGCTGAAGTAGTAACTTTACAACCGGTCCTCACACTTACGACCGTTGTAGTGTCCCACAGTCACACGATCACCATTTGCACGCCTCACAGCCGGCTTCTGACAAGCAGTCAATGGAGAAGCCAACAGTGCAATCATATCACAATCATGTGATGTCACTTAATTGAATAGGAAGTGATGTCATAAGTCCATCACAGTCACGTGATGTTTTGCTTAGCAACTGCGTTGCTTAGTGATGGAATTGCTGGTCCCAGTTGTGGTTGTTAGGTGAGACCTACCTGTAATACAATGACTCAATCACAGTTTAGCCTAGTGTGTTGTGCAAACATGGGCTGGGTGTGTAGGTGTCTGCAAAAGGGACTGATGCGAAATGCGCTTCATGACATCTCAATGCAAAACCTGCAACGCATGTACTTATGTCGGAAGTTGGGATGCGTGTCCCTAACCTCTGGCCTGGCGTGGTGACATTACCGTTCACAGGTTGTCACTTTTGCTGTCATCGCGGCTAGCTGTGGATACCTGCCGGTGCGCAATCAGATTTTGGGTCAGGGTCCCATGCCAGTCCAGGCTTTTGGGTCTGCTGTGCAATTTGCGGTTCAGCTGACGAGGGATAAGCCTCCTCTCCCACCCCAGCCGATACCTCCCAACTCCGGAGGGTCGTGGGGGGGGCAAAGCTGGAGGGAGTGTGCGGCGCTTCTTCAGCTCCTGAAGGAAAGGCTGGGCGGGGAAGAGGAAGAGGAAGACCACTGCTTTAGGAAACGAGTGGCTGCTCTTCTCCCCGCGGCCTGCTGGAGCCAACCTTTCCAAAGATTCCCGTTGCATTAAGAATCCCCAACAAAGAAACTCTGAAGCTTCGGGAAGGGGGGAGGAAGGACAGCAGAGACGCCCATTTGTTTAGCCTGGACGTTTCTCCCACGCAGGGCCTGGAGTCACAAGCAGACCTTGAGGCCTCCGCTCGGAGGCACAGGCTGAGCCTACCCCGGACGAGGAATGTCCCTGAGACAAAAGGGACATTGACGCTTTAAGAGCTCACCCGGACCCACCATGGACAATTCAGGGCAACCTTCTGCTTTGTCTGACGCAAAGCCCCGTTGCTCAAAGGGCGGGAACGCTGCTGAGCCACAAACACTTTAGTAGCATCCTGAGGACTAGAATCTTATTCTTTCCCCCCACTTCCTGTTTTTAAAGATAAAGCCTCTGGCATTGCACCCTCCAAGGATAGGGTGCATTTCAATCCCTGGGCAGATCTGCTGCACGCTGACAACAGCGAAAGGGATCGTACAATTTAGGGGCCCGGGTTAGATACAAGGTCCCGTGAGATCAAGTAGTGGCCCACAGCAGCCCAGTTCTGAGCCAGCTGAAAATGTGGGTTTTTCCTTTGATTTCTGCCAAGGCAGGTGGGTTTTTCTATCTGCCATTTCGACCTTTAAGCTGGAGGAGGATACGGAAAGATAGTTTTGTTCTTTTAGATGCAGGTCTGTCGGCCAGGTATGGTCAAAAAAGTCAAGATGGCCGCAGTGAGGCGATCAATGGGCAACCATCGATCGCCTCACTGTGGCCTTCTTGACTTTTTTGACCATACCCTGCAGAACCTCCTGCTTAGACTGTTGTTCTTTTTAATGGGGGCTTTTTGAAACAGATTTGCAGTTCTTTCAACTTTGGAGCCAAGTCATTTGGAGTTGAGTGGCGAGAAATGCCATCAGCAAACAAACTTTGGTGGACTTCTACCTACCAATTCAAATGATTTTGTTTTAGGATGGGTGATTTAACTCTGTTCGGGCTGGTTTTTATTGCTGCATCTCACGGCTGCCATACATTCACGACTATCGTGTAAAATCGTACATCATTTTTCCAAGCTGGGCGTCCTCTGGCTTATGCTGCACTACAGGCTGGGAATCATGGTGCTTGAATCTATCTAACCGGGAAAGCACCAGCTTGGGCCAAACTCCATCATGTTCTACTAATGCCTCCCCTGAAATGTCCTTATTTTTTTATTTATTTTTTCTTTCTTTTCTATTTTTCTTCTTTTTTTCTGCACTATTTTTTCTTTTTTAGTCTGTATTAGTTTTTATCTTTTTAACTGTAATGTTGAATCACATTATTTTTTAAAAATTAAAAATTTAGATGTCCTTCTTCTAAGCGAAGGAGGGGTGGATACCTTGCAGAACGGCGTATTCCACATTGGTCTTAGGGAAGTGTGTGCACGAACCAGAGAGGGCGGGGTGTTTCACTTCTACAACGAAGCACACTCCGCTCGCACAACTGGAGGAATCGAAACGGTGGGGGGAACCTCTCGGGGTCCAGGCTGCCAAGGATGGGCTTCAGACAGGGGTAGAAAACAGGTTCCCTTCTGGGCCTGGCCCGCAGGTTGCAAAGAACAGAACTGCTGTCCCCCTGCTTTTAAAGAATTAGGACAGACAAGTCTCTCACTGCTACCTTTCCACAGGCGAGGAAGAAATGGTCACAGGACCCTTAGAAAACAAGCTGCCAGTTTTTGGAATCGCCATGTCAGAGTTCCAGCCGTGCTCTGTGAAGGCAGGTGGAGGTCAGCCCCCGGCCCACCTGCGAGCATCAAGAGAACACATCACAGCCCCCCTTCCCGTTGAAACTTCTCCCACCTACTTGCCCTCCCATCACGCTGGACCGGTCTCATTTGCATCTTCTCAATCCCTCCCCACCCGTTGCACCAGAACGGTACAGTCCGGGAAATGCCGTGCCACTCCCACCTGCCAAGTGCCATGGATGGGCAGGGATGGTGGGAGACGGAAAGCGTTCAGGGAGGCTACCGTGACGAGGAAGAGGATGAGGGGGGGAGAAAGAGCCCCCAACTGAAACAGGATAAGGTCCAGGATGGACCAGGAATTAAACCCACCCCCCACCTTTTTTCATGGAAAACCGTGGGGAGCGGAGTTTGCATTTTCCCAGCAGCAGCAGCAGCAACTTGGATTTGTGGAATTGCTGCCTGCCACACAACTTTGAGGTGTGAAGAGTCATGCTCGAAAAATCCAAAGGGGAGAGCCCTGAAGGTTGCCAGGTCAAGCGCAACCTTGACAAGCCAGGGTGCAAGAAGCAAAGTTGAAACTTTGCAGCCCAGACAGGTGAAAGATGCAGAAACTGGCTTGCCTTCCTCCTCTGCACTGTGCCACCCACAGGTATCCCAGCATTGTTGGGCATGCCTTTGGCAACCCCCAGCACATCGGATCTTCTCGGCAGGCCTCTGCACCGTGCGAAAACAAGACATTCCTTTTTTAGTTTCCCTTTGCAACTAAAAGGGAAATTTAAGTTTGCAAGGGGTTCTGTAAAGGCAGAGATGTCTGCCTGAAACGTCCCCATGAACTCCCCCATGCTGGTTTAAATCTTGTTGGTTCAGTAAAGTGCCAAACTGCTGTAGCCTCACTCAAGGAAAGCAGAAACTCCTGAAAATAGAAACTCTAAAAATGACTGGCATCGCGTTTTTGCAATCCCTGCATTTTTGTTCACAACCATGTTGTCTGTTCCGTTCCTCCCTCCCACAAATCTGTCTTTCAGAATTTGCAGTACGCTCGCTTTTCGGAAGAGATTTTCAAAAAGGGCAGCACGTGTCACAAAATAAAATGGAATGTAAAATCTGGCCTGCTCAGTCTGATTTTTTTTTTCATTTACTGGCTAGGTTTACAAAAATGCTGAAGTTCACCCAGCACAAAATACTGGCTGGTCCACATACACGCATGCATATACATGCATGCCAAGACATCACTCAGCTGGAATTAAGAAACTGGAATTTACAGCCGAACAGTAGTTCTCAGGCTCGGAATCCAACTTTTGCAGTTCAACACCTTGGGGTTTTTTTGCTGCTAGACCTCAAGGCAGGCAATATGCTGGCAGGGCAGACAGCTGGAGAAAAGTTGTGTTACTTAAACTGACTTTCTGCCACCCTGGCAATAAATCTGGGGCAGCTATGCTTCTGGCCGCTTTTTCAGCGGAAAGCCAGGGTCCTCCTTCCAGAAGACAGGAAAAATAGAGCAATCCCATTAGGTTTTGTGTACTGTAACACTCAGTTCAATAGAATTAACTACGAGGATTCCCCTTCCGGTCCCTTAAAACTAAGAAGTCCTGAGGGCTGCACCCAAGCGACTCTGGATAGGAGCTGCTGTTCCCAGTAATAACAGGAGGAAAAAAGGAAATGAAACTTTTTTTAACACCAGCAGGCCACTGACACCATCACAGCTGCATCTCAGGCCTGAATTAAAAGAGGAACCAAGAAAATGATGATAGTAAAACCACAGATGCAACTCCCCTCTTCTCTTCTACCTGGCCTAAAAAAGTCAACAGGGCCACAGCCACACAATCAAACCCGCCCGTTTTTTTAACGTCCCACCCATAACCTGCTCTGTGCCCCTGCAAGACTCGCACCTTGGTCATCCAATCCCAAAATGGCAATTTGTGGCCATTGTTTTCTTCTTGGTCTTTGGGAGGGGGGTGAAGGAGGGTCAAGTCACGGCTCTAATGACACATTACGCTGAAACCTAATCGCCTATGGCGACTTGGTACCGTTTCCAGGTGACCAGCAGAGGGTAGCGATATATCACGAAGGTTTTCCTTTGGCGTCACAAATACTTAGCATAGATATTTTGGGAACGGCAGGCTGGTAACTCTCAAAGACCCAGATCTCGGCCAGCTGTTGGGTCCTTTCCCTTTCTAAAAAAAGACACACTTCGTTTTCATCAAGACTCGAAAGGAAAATCATTTATTTAAAAAAAAAAACAGAAAACAAAAAACAGTGAGCCCTTGTTTGTAACAGGGATTTCCCACCCCAGGCACTCATAGCCACGAGGAACATGTGAACGCCACCCTTCCCGCACCCTAGCAAAAAAGATTCTAAAGAAATTCCAGCAATAAATGTACAGTACATTTGTATGTGCAGCTTAGCATCCAATAAACACACCCTTCATTTTTCTCATCAGGGGAAGAAAAAAAAAAAACACCCTTAATTTTATTTAAGACAAAAACAAACCAGTGTATTCAAGTTAACCAGCTGCAGTTTTAGTTACAGAAGTACCTTGTTCTTCCTTGAAGTGAGAGCCCTTACTGAAGGCACAGAAAAAGAAAAAGAAAAAAAAAAACCAGCTATTTTCCACAGATCATTCTCTCCCCACCACCAGGCAGGGAAAGAAGAAGAAGAAGAAGAAAAAAAAGAAAACACCACCAGCCCCATGTCTGGTTTTTATGAGTGATTTTTGGGAATGACTCCAACGCGACTGGAAAAATTATACAGCAATGAAAAGGCCACTAAACATTTTGGGGTGGGGGTGGGAATTAAGTGCCTTCATAATATACCCCGAACCGTTCCCAACCTGTCAGATAGGTTAGAACTACAAGACCCAAAGTTCCCAGCCAAGGAAGGAATTCTATGGTTCTGGTCGGAGGAAGCCCCGTTTTCAGACAAGCTGCACTGAAGAAACGTGTGGCTGAAGTGCGCCATGTACCCGTTATGGTGATATGCTCAGATTTGGGGTGCCAAATTAAAGCTTGGCGAAGCCCTTCCCATTCCCTTAGATTAGCATCCCCCCCCCCGCCTCACTGGGCGCCTTGGAGAATCCCGTCGACTCCACGGCTAGACGGGAAGGACAGGGAGATGGCAGCCCCCTCCCCAATCAACTTCTCCGGGCTGAAGTCTGCCCAGCAATTCCCAATGACATTGCAAGCATTTTGGAGGACTCGCACGGTGTGCGTGGTGGGCACGCACCCAACATTAACAGCGTACCAGATTGCCCAGGCAAAGAGGTTTTGGAATATCCACCCAAAGGGTGAAAAAGTTGCTTGGAAAAAGCAGGTTGACTGGAGGAAGCGATCAGAGAAGCAAAAAGAATAAAGAACAGAGAGCTGTTTTAAGGGTTCTCCACTTGCCCCCTCCAAATGCTGGGAAGGGGGATGAAAAAAAAATCTAGTATTCAGGGGTGTCTGCTGGTCAAAAAGGTCAAAATGGCAGCCACAACAGCATGATCAATATTGTTTTTTAATTGGCACACATAAAAATCAGGTGGAGCTTTGATCGTATGGTTCTGGCCCCCACCTTTGACTTTTCTGACCCTAACCTACAGACATTCCTGTGCGCATTACTCATGCGCTTCTTAAAATCCAGGAAGAGCTAAGCCGAGAGCAGAGAGCGACAAGAGGGAAATGAAGATTGGTGAAAAGAGCATTTAAGCTGCCTCAGCGCAACAGAGCGGCTCTCCCCGCTGGAACGGAGGGGTGGAGAAGGCGCCTCAAGCAGGCGTGAGTCACATCTGATCCAGGAGATCACGCCCAGAGCACAAGCTGTAGTGGGAACTGGAGACAAAGCGCAATCTGGTTTTTCTCTGGGTTAGCCCAGCCATGGATCCCTTTAGCCCTCAGGAGAAAAGAGAATAATTCCTTGCTAATTTCTCAACCCAGTTTTCCTTCCCCCAAAGGACTTCAAGGCTGGTCGGAATTTTAGTTTCAGGGACTCGGGCAAGAGGCTGCGTGTTTCTAGAGTGGGGGAACAGAAGATGTGAATGAAGGGTGGGGGGAATCAAGAGAGCAGATGCAAGCCCCCTTCCGTGCGACAAAATTGCTTGTGGGGAGGGGAACGGTTTTCCCCAATGCCACCATTCACGTTCTGCATGGCAGACGCTCACCAATTCCTCCCGGGCCAGTTTGGGTGTCCAAGGACAACAGGAGCTCCGAAGCACCAATATTAAACAGAGAAGGTTTTCTACAAGGGGGGAGAGGAATAAAAACTGCTTAAAGGAGAGGCCAGAAGGAACAGGAGCAAGAAGAGAGATTTTCTTACGGAGCTCATTCAGCCCGATGGAACTCTGCGCCTCAAATTGGCCCCTGCTTATTCACAATCACCCACAAAATAGGATTAAGAAGCAAGCGAGCGAGCAGGAGGAACTTTTTTTTAGCAACAGGAAAGGGCTGAAATCAGAGTGGGGTAACCTACAGCCCCACAGGACTTCCCTGGCGAAAAACTCCTCTTTGGTCTATGCGCTGAAGGCCACACAATCTAAGGTGCTGGAAATGGGATATGGATCCCCCACGGATCATATCAGTAAGATTAAAAAGAAAAAAGATTCATACCCACCACTTGGAACTGAACCAGAAAAGCATGTTTTGTCCTCAAGAAACAAGTGCCCTGCACACATGCGTGTTGTGTGTGTGTACACAGCTGCACACACAGACTCCCCTAGAACTAGGAGAGCTGAATTTCCAAGGGTGGGATTTTGCTCCGATTCACCAGGTGGAGGCCAATCATGGCGCCAGCTGTGAAAACAGGGTGGCCAGCATGTTGGCTTAATAATGATCATGGTCCTGGGATGTGGTCCAAAGGTGGCCATAACAGAAAGGTTTCACATGGAAACAGAGTCTGCGTTAGAGAAAGGAAACATGGAAAACTTGAAAGAGTTGGGCAAGGAATGTGAGGCCCCAGTGAAGACAACAGCTAAACCCCAACCTCTTGAGTTGGGAATGTCCTGCATTTATGGGGGAACCCTCAACAGATCTGCAGGGAGGAATTTGGGGGGAAGAAACCAGCCAGGGACGGCTGCTTCCATTCCACTCCCTTCCCGAGCAGGGAAACGGGTTTGGTCAGGCGCTAGGCGTGCCCGCCCTTGTCTCCTCCAAGCAGGTGGAACAGGTCAGGAGAGAGAAGAGGCGAGGCAAGGGCTGGGCGTTCCCAGCAAAGGCATCAGAAGATGCAACCTGAGGAAGCCAAGCAAAACACCAAAAGTTCCCATCACCACCGAGCGAGCCTTGCCAACGCAGCACCTGCCTGGCCTGGCCTGGCCTACTCCGCCAACCCGTGTGCCAAAGCAGCAGAGGGTGACATCCAGGAGGCCACAGGGGAGCCAAACCCAGCTTCCTTGGAGGCGCCAAGGCTCCTCACCTTTAAAAGGGGGCAGGGGGACTACCCCAAGTCCACACATGGCTTCCAGCCAACGCTCTTCGTGAAGGTGCTTCCCTTCGGCTTAGAATCCCTCACTTGGAAGACGCCACAGTTCAGAGAACCACAGAGCTGGGGAATGTACAGAAGGAACGCCCATAGGTTGCTTTTGGTTAATAGGGGCCAAAGCTCCCCCCCCTCCACTTTTCCATCAGCACGAAGCAAGGCATCTTCTGAGAGGGAGAAGCGACCCCCACAGCGTCTTCCAGGGCTCAACCCTTGCTGGTTACACCTCGGCCAGGGGTTGAGGAAGAGTTGAAGAGAGGGGAAAACACAGAAGGGAATGTACGTTCGAAGACTCATTGGTTAGGGACGTGTGCGCGCAAACGGTCGGACTAGACCTATTGCCCGAGAATTATGATTTGTAGTTAGAAGTAAGCCACATTAACCCTTCATAGAGTCCTTCTCCCGACGTCGCGCAAGACGGCTGGACGTACCAATTCCTGTCCCTAATGCGAGTCAGCCCCAGTTTCTCCTGGATCTCGTGAGGTTTCATGGCATCTGGGAGGTCCTGCTTGTTGGCAAAGACCAGGATAATGGCGTCCCTCATCTCTCGATCGTTGATGATACGGTGAAGCTCCTGCCGCCCTTCATCGATCCGATCCCGGTCAGCGCAGTCCACCACAAAGATCAACCCTTGGGTGCCGGTATAGTAGTGTCTCCAGAGGGGCCGGATCTTGTCCTGCCCCCCGACGTCCCAGACGTTGAACTTGACGTTCTTGTAGGTCACGGTCTCCACGTTGAAGCCCACGGTGGGGATGGTGGTGACGGGTTGGCCCAGCTTCAGCTTGTACAGGATGGTCGTCTTGCCAGCAGCATCTAAGCCCAGCATCAAAATCCTCATCTCCTTATTACCAAAGATCTTGGACAGCATCTTCCCCATGGCTGCAGCCAAGGACCGAACAGTCCATACACGACTGAAGGGGAGGGGAGGGGAAGGGAAAAGGGGAAGGAAGAGGAGACAAGGACGTTGAAAACACAGTCAGAACCGCAGAAGTGCTAAGCCAGCATTTACGCAGGCACCCTGGTCTTTCCAATGCCTTCATTTACCCCACGGTCCTCCTCAGCCAAGCTCAGCTAAAACTTCTCCCCCACCCCTGGCCAAATCTTTTCCCCACTTTCCACCCCCTCTTAGTTTGCCATTTCCCCGTTCTCACCTGAGCAGGGCAGGTGGCAGTTGCCAGGCAAAGCCGGGGAAACATTGGTCTCCTACGGCGAGCAGAATACTTTTTCTAGGCGACAAGGGAGGTTCCCTTCCAACCCCAACCCCCATTAAGCTAGACACTTAATGCAGGAAGATAATTGTGCCAAGCACACCAGTGAAGAGTTCGAAGGCCTGTAATGTTCCTGGGGATGCCCTAGTAAGAACAGGAAGCAGGACCTGTACACCTGGCATGGCAACCAGGTGGCCCCTAGATTCTTCTTCTTCTTAGATTTTTATCCCGTCTTTTTTATATATACGGTCCACAATTCGGATCTCATTATTCCCAGCACCAAAGAGAGGGGATCTGAGGGCCTAAAACAACTTTATTTTACTTTTTAAATGAGTATTTCCTCAACTTTTCATCAATCAAACCAGTGTTTCTCAACCTTGGCCACTTTAAGATGGGCGGACTCCAACTCCCAGAACTCAAGCCAAGGTTGAGAAACACTGGATCAAACAATCAACTGGCAAACAATACATGAATACTTTCTATAAAGGCAACCTAAAAAATACCTGTGCCTTTAAAAATGATCATGCAGGTTTCCATCTCAAGGCAGGATGGAAACCTGCAGCACGGGGTGTCACACCCAACCCCGTTTCTGGGTTTTTCAATTCTATATTCCAATGCAAAGTATCCAGACCAGTTTCTCCCAAGTTGCAGATCTCCAGATGCGCCGAGCGACACCTGTGTATTTGCATGCAATTAGTCATGCTCTGCAATTAGATCTCAATCTGTGATTCACGGGTGGGACAAGGAATTCGGGAAGGTACAGAAAGCACCCCCCTTCCCAGCACGATCTTGCAAAGTCATTCCTACATTTGGAAATTCACGCCTGACTGATTGGATTCTGACACTCAGAAGGTCTAGAAACTTGCATGGGTTTTAGAAACGGAAAGCAAGTGCTTCAACCTGCTGAATTCTGCCACTTTTGCTCACGCACGTCCAAATTCCTTGGATTTATGAGAGCCACGTTAACACAGGCCCTACGTGCTGTGCTGGGAGCTGGTGGAGCTGTGATAGCTAGATAAATTCAGGGAAACTAAAACTATACAAAATAAAACTACCCGCTCAATCTGTTAAATGGGTTACTTCTTCCTGCGGGCTTCTGGGGAAATCACGGCACAAGTTCCATTAAGAAAAGATGAACCACAAGAGTCTTATGGGGAACTACTGTTGCACGAGACCAATTTTTTTCAACCGGATCCTGGTTCAGAATCTTTGGCTCCTGTGCAAAATTCAGACCTTTCTCCCTGCCCTCCCCCCCCTCCATGTGCCCCTCCCTGCCTCCCTGGCACCCAGAACCTTTCTCCTCTCTTTTGTCGTCAGTCAGGTTCGCAGGCCTTCCACCTGAGCGTGCCCTCCTAAGACCCCGTTTCTTCCTCCAGGAGCTTCCCACTTCTCTCCCCGCCAGCCCCCCAAGTCCCATCTGGGCACCAAGACACTCTAGGAAGAGGCAGCCCACCCCATCTCGGGTCCCGCTCCTCCTCCCCAGCTCAGAAAAAGCAAGGTCGCATTTTTAGAAGCAAAGACACCAAGCCACAAGGCCATCCAAGGCGGAGCACGGCCCGCTTTCAGAGGTGCGTTCTCACAGTCAGCTTGCAAGGGGTTTGAGAAGGGGTGGGGGCGCACGGGAGACCGGCCTGCTTTTACAGGTGAACAAGGAGCTGACCTTGGGACTAATCCTGCCTCTTCATCCTACTCACTCTCAGGGAGGATGGAGTTTGCACCCATCAGTCCTCCTCTGGAAGGTCTCCAAAAGCTTGTTTGCTAAACTGCCCCCCCCCCATTTCCAGCCATGAGCTAGAAAGGTCAATGATACCCAGTGACCTTCCTCTTCCAAATCTCTATCACATGTCAGTTAATGCCAAAACCCACAGGATCTCAACAGAAAAGCAAAAAAATTAAAAGAAACCAACTTTGAAGGTCAGAGTCCCTTTTCCAGACCTCACTTCGATCTGGAAGCCCGATTCAATCGGATGGGCTCACTCACTCGATCCAAACTTGTGCAACAGGGCACCCAAGAAGTTAATGTGTTCTCACCGCCACTCTGACCCCCTCGCTTTCACATGGGGAACGTCACAACTCCCCCCCCAGCCACCTCACACCCCCATTTTCACAGGTTCCAAACTCCCCCAAGGAATCCTTGTTTCTTTTAATCAGTCCTTTTTTCCTGCTCCTGCTTTTGCCATTTCAGACCCAAGTTTAAAAGGCTGAAAAGAGGCAGAGCAGAAAGAAAGAAGAAAGTTTACTTAAATGGAAGGCCAGGTGGGAAAAGTCTCTTTTATCACACACACAGACACACACACAGAGTGTATCTCTGCCTTTCTGGAGCTGGGGAGAAAGGAAGGAAACAATCTGAGCACCCAGCCATTTTCAAGACCAAACCTAAAAGTCTTGCCAACTTTCTCCACTGCCCCCAAACAGCAACCTTCACAAAGTTGTCGACCTCCCCCCTCCACTTCTTCAGCAGCCTGGCACAGAAATAAGTTGAACCACCTAAGGACCTGGGTGGATTTTTTTTTAAAAAAAAGTGCCCTTCACCCTTTTTTTTAGCTGGCTGAAAGCTTGTGACCCAGCTGCAGGCTGAATCAAAGCTCTTGACAGACTTTTAAATGGGGGGGGGGGGA